TGAACATTATTGTTTTACACAATGTTTTAGAGTATTTTTTACATTTAAAAAATATCTAAAATATATGAACTTACATGCTCCATGTGAATAAGAGTAAAATGATAGGAAGCATGAAAATTAATTGTTTATTATATAAGTATACATATAAGAGATCATCTGAGTCTTTCTTGGTCATAAAGATATATCTTAAAGAAGAAATATGACATTTGCAACATTCCGTCTCCTTCACATTTTATTTTCCGACTTAAATTTTTGTTCACCCTGGTTATAATGTTGACCTAGTTCTTTAACGATTTCTGAGCATCCATAGGTCTGGATATTTTCACTTTCCCGTGAAAATGGTGAGAGGTTCAGATAATTTGGGAAGTTATGACTCTCAGTATAGAGGTAGCTGTTTTTTCTACAACAGGCACACTCAATTTGACAAGCTTGCTTGAATTTTTGGAAAAGATGGTAGTTTTAAAAAAATCATTCTTAAAAATCTCTTTACCTACAACTCACTTAAAAAACAAGAACTAAATGTAAGGAAACATTATTGACAAGGAAACTCAGAAATTTATTATAATATCAATATTAACCAGCATCTGCTATTTGCAATACAATATAAGAAAAATGAAATAAAAAGAGTTTTCAGACCAACCTATATTTTTTCTACTATAAGTCAAGGTGCGATGTCATAGGACATGGAATTTGAAGTACACTGCTCAGTCTGTCCTGTGGTTTGATGAAGTAAGAATTGGAGGCAAGGACAAGCTACAGGGAATGTGGACAGGATACTTTATTGTCATCAGCAGTAATGAAAGAACCAGGAAAATACCATCCTGCCAAAATACACATTAAAAACAGGTCTCATATCTAGCTTCCTACCTTGGAGGAATAAGGCCTAGAGATGAGCTATCTTTGCAGCTGCATAACAAATCTTATGAAAGAGAAGAGCAGGTGCTGAGACACATTGCCAAATGTTTATAACGATTCCATTGCATGGATGTTTCTTTTCTCAAATAAGCCCCCTATTTGTGGCAGCCCCAAAAATAGCCCTATGATTGAAATATCTGTGTCATCTGATCCTGCCCAGTTAGATGTCCCCTCTCCATGGAAATCACCTGCATGGAGTTTGGGCTTGCCATGTTTCTCTTCCCAATAAGTGTAGATATCAAATTTCTTACTCCAAAACCTCCTGAAGTAAGTAGCCGAGGACAGAGCAGGAGCTAGAAATGGCAGAGGTCTGGAATGCCTACAAGATAACACTACTTTTTAAAATTCTTTCTGAGTACTACATCTGGTTCTTCATTGGGAAGTTATAATAGACCTATTCGTTTTCTACAGCTGCTGTAAAAAAAAAATTACCACATACTTACTGGTTTCTAAAGACCCAAATGTATTATTTTATAATTATTAGGTCACAAGTTGGTCCCAGGCTTATTGGGGTCAAACCACGATGTCAGCATGGTTGTGTTCCTTTCTGGAGGCTCTAGCAGAGAATCAGTTTCTTTGCCTTTTTTAACTACTATAGGCCTCATATGTTCCTTGACTCATAGCCCTTTTCCTCCATCTACAAAGCCAGCAATGTTGCAACTTTATTTTTCCATAGTCACATCTCCTTCTCGGAACGATTCTTCAATTTAAAGACCCATGTAATTAGACTGGACTCACCAGGATAATCCAGGATAATCACAGAGTCCTTAATTTAATCAAATCTGTAAAGTCTTTTTCCCATGTAGAGTAACATATTTATAGATTCTGGGCATCAGAACTTGGACATTTGGAATGGAGCATTATTATGTTCACCAGGCCAGAGGAAAATCCTCTTGTTTTTGACTCTGAAAATAAACTTGTTTTACTTTATTTCCACAAAGTATCTCTGTGGAAAAAAGTATTTTCACATTATTTATAATGCCATTATCAAAATTAAACACTACGTGTATCTCTTTTTACGGTTCAATCAAGCTCTCAGGTTTTATTTTTCTTCTTAAAGGGCTAAAATAATAAATTTGTGTCTTTAGAAAGTAAATTTGTGGTAAATTTTTAGAGCAGCTATAGAAAACTGATACACCTAGCAAAACTTCCAAATGAAAAATCAGATACAAAACACAAACGGCTATGAAACTGAGGACAATTAAGTTTGACTTGTACAGTTTTAATTCTCTCAACTCCAATGATCCTGTGCTCTGCAAAGTCTGTATACTAAGGACAACATTTCACAGACTCTCATGAACCAAAAATGTGAATCCAAATATCTACTAAAAAAACCTCAGATAAAATATAACCACCTCAGAGTTTATCTTTCTGAAACGCCACAGGATTCTCAATCTAATGCATTACTGTTCAGAGCACTCTTCTCTGTCAAAAATTATAGGTTGCTTATTTGATCATTACTTTCCCTATTCTTAATCCAAAATGTATTTATTACAGTTACATGTAAAATCCAGCAAACCTTTTATATTCCATACTTGTAATGGTTATTCCTTTCTTTTCTCAAGAAACAAAAATTTAAAATATGTAAATGTAACTGACAAAGTTTTTAACTTTTTGAGAAATGAAAATTTTATAGTGGAAAAAATTATTACAATTACACATTTTCTAATTTCTCAGAGTAATTTTCTTTTTGAAAAATAATTAGCTTTTTATGCTAATATAATATGATAAAGAGGTACTTGACTACTGAAACTACTTTAAATTAAAAAGGGGATAGATATATGATTTGCTCTCTAGGTTCAATCATTTCTAAACCAGATATGTCATGAAAAAATTAAGACAATTCCCATATTTGAAGCACATGTCTAATTAGAGATAATACCTGTTCTAATCTATTGTCTTTTAACATCATTCGCTCACATTGTACTTAAGGTAGGGAGAAAACTTTATCTCTGAAACAGAAGGATGAAAATATTTTCATATTTCTATAAGTCATGTGATATTTTATTGAAAACAGGAAAAAATTGGTAAATCAATAAGCTATGGCTGGCATTTAACTTCATCTTAAAATTTATTTCACATTTTTTTTCCTGGTTTTTAAGAAACAAAAATAGGGCTTAGAACTCTGTCGATCTTCACATGATCCATAAAATGCAATCTATGAGAGCATGAAGGCAAGAACTTCTGACCAAAGACGTAGGACTTGTAAGAAAATAAATTCCAAGAAAAAAGTGCTAATGAAGGTAAAGTCATACTTAAAAGGCTCTGACAGTTGGATAGGTGTGTGCCTTGATCTCACTGGAACGACTATGCAAATTTCATGTAATTTAGATAAACACAAACACAGTCATTCTAAAATGCAGTTTCCCAGTGTGTTGGTTTTTGTTTAACCACAATTTCCTATACTCCCCAAATCCAAGGAGTTCCAAGTATGAAACACAATAAATAAAATATCAACCCCAAGACCACTTACTTTCAATCTCTACAAGAAATATCAAAAATCGGCCATATAAACTGGGAGAAGAATAAATTCCAATCACAAGGTTTTTGATAAAAGATTAATCACAGATATAACTGCATCTCTTCAAAGATGAATAAACTGAAGGAAAAAATAGCAAAAAAAAAAAAAATTAATCTTACATAGTTCCTTTTCAAATGCAGCAAAGAAAAATGGGAAAAGGGAAATTTTAGACAGTATAGAGATAAACGAAATGTGTTGGATGCATTGCAATAGAAATAAAATGAAATTGCAGGCTAAAATGACTCATTCTTTGAGGAATTCTCAACAAAAAGTACTCTTAAAAAAAGAAATAATCAAGTAATAGAATTCAATTAAAAGGGAATTCAAGAAAGGAATTGAGGTAAGGATGCTATTGTATAATTTGCAAACATAGTCAAGAGTAGCAAAGAGTAGAATTAAAGCACCAAAATAAATCACAGACATTGAGAACATGTTTGAGAAAAATCTCACAAAGGCTGACGAAAATATACAAATTAATTAAAGACATAAAAAGAAAATTATAATTTGAGAGCAGAACCAATGGAAAACATAGAGATTGTTGGTGTTTCTGACCAAGAGAAATAACGAGAACAGCAACAAATCCAAATTTTAAGTAACCATTTTTGTCTGATTTGAATAAAACCATGAGTATTAAACTTTTTCTCAGAAAAGCAAACAACGAAAATAACGTAGATAGATAGGTGATAGATAGATAGATAGATAGATAGATAGATAGATAGATAGATAGATAGATAAATAGGTAGGTAGATAGATGACAGACAGACAGATGATAGATGAAGTTATTAAACTTGAAGTGTGAAATCTTAAAAATTCCAGAGATCACTTCAGAAAAATCTGGTCACCTATAAAGGAAAACAAAGTCACACTGTCCTTCGGCCTTCTCCTTGGAGGTGTTAGATGCTGAAGTCAAAGGAGCAGGGTCTGCAGATTTCTGAAGAAAGCAAGATTAAGGTTGATTAATTCTATACTAAGGCAAGTTCTTATTCAAGACTGAGAAAATAGAAACAGAAATTTAAAGTAATTTAAAGAATACCTTTGATTCCTAAAAAGTCAATTAGAAAGTTAAGCCAGTCAATAGATAAATACATTTCAATAATGAAAATATTAATGATGAAGCAATTTACAGATGTCAATGAATAGAAATACTGCTATTTTTTTTAATTTACAATATTATGGCTTCAAAGCAGAATGACTTTTTTAATAAAAAAAAATTAATTAACATTCATGGGCTAAAGTAAAGCCAAAGACTAGGCCAAAAAGAGAATGATTGTATATGGGTTTGAAGAAGGAAGAGTGGGTTGGAAAATATGCAATACGCTTTCCTATTTTATTTGAGTGCCAATTGTTAACATTTCTTTCTGGACATAAAAAGTTAATAATTATAATTCATGTTGATATATGTCATCCCTTTGTATTAAAAACAGTTTGTATAGCTTTTAAGTTATATGAAACAAAAGTAAGATTTAGTAACAAGAAATATTTAGTAATATATGGAAAATATTCAGTAAAATAAAGCATAGAACATTAAATATCAAACACATTTTACATTTGATATGGTAAACTTATCAAGAGAAAAAAGGCTCACCTTAGAAAAGCAAGTTTGGCTATATAGCTCACATGAAAAACCAAAGGACTCTAAAAGTTAAAATTAAATTATTTATGAATTAGACAAATGAAAACCTTAAAAATCAAGCATCACAATATTTATGTCAGATAAATTAAAAAAGTACATGTGAGCTTTTAAAAAATTGTTATAAGAACAAACTGTAATGAAGTTATGTTGTGAGTACTGATGGAACAATACATAGCTATACAGATGCAGGTAAAAATGGTTGAATCTCACAGAGCTACTAATAATAATGAAATATGATGTTAGATATCCATAAACTAACTCAGTCCTTTATCTTTCAAAGTGATTAAAAATAAAAAAAATACAGAAAATCTGAAAAAATAGAATCACTGTAATTTTTAAGAACATGTTAACTTTACTTACCCTACAAATATAAAAAACATCTTTTTTTGCCTGCTCTGTGATATTTTCAAAACTCTCCTCAACAAATCTCTGCTTCCAGTTCCATAAATATAGTTATTGAGATCTTTGTCTTTTCTTTCGATTTTTAAGTTTTATTATTTTAATTTACTATATTTCTTTTCTTGAATTCCATTTTCTCTTACTTCATAATTTGTCTTTATAGTTACACTCAGGGAATGTGGTCACAGGACTGACAATCCTGGAGCCAACTAAGTCCACAATATAAAAGATGTCAGAAGCCTTTCTTTGTCATCTTTACCAATAACACCTCTCTAACTATAATAGTACCCAGTAGATGTACCTTCACTTTTAAATTATTATGTCACCTTGGACACTGTGATACTCAAAAAAACATTAGTTGAATAAATGAACAAACTGATATGTGTGCGCGCATGTATGTACATGTTTGTTTGTCTTTCTGTCAGACAGTATATATTTCCCTTATGAAATTTTATTCTCTAAGTGGCATAATCTCCAGATTTATAACTACCGAATGTAGTGGCAGGGTGAAGGGTTTGGGATCTGTGTGCTATATTGCTGGCAGCAAAGCTAGCTGTATATTTATTTTGTGAGACATCCTTTACTAGGCACTACCTGTGGTTTATTGAGGAACAACTAAGTTTTGAAACATCCAGCAGACGTTCATCGGAGGAGGCAGAATACAGGCTGTATATTTAGGCTTCCGGCAACAATCGTCAAGCAGCCATCCTCTAATATGTTCATTTCTTTTTTGGTGTACATCCATTTTCTGCAGTACTGTGAATATCTCCTGGTGGGTTGTCTTCTCAGTTTCCTTTTATGTCTGTGAAGAACAAGGGGATGCTGGCTAGAGTTAGGAATAACTCTAATATATATATACAGGATGTATATGACTCAACTGAAAAGTTAAGATAATCTGAAGATTATTATCAGGGGTCTGTCAAAATTACTGACTATAAGAAAACAAGGATACTATTTTAATCATCAATCCATCTTGCTCCTCTGGAAGAACTTTGTTACAGTGTTGCTTCAGTTTGGATTATCTGACTCCCCTGCCATCTTTCAAATGACTAGAGAACAGTAACTGGGAAGTTCGAAGTCTCTAAAGCTCACATAATTTTTATTGCTATTTCATAGGATTCTTCCCCAGTTACATTCCCATTTGCTTATTTTGAGTCACCACCTGAATAGTCACTTTCTCCATTTAGAATAAAATAATATACACTAATTTCCCTACGACCAATTGCACGGGAGATCCACACTTACAAAGTGGTAGTTGTTACAACATTGCTCATCAAATTGCTCCTCTTCATATCCAAAAGACCTTTCCACGGTCCACAAATGCACCCTAAACCTGCTAGCTCATACATAACCTCGTTTGGGGGCAGCTGAGTTGGTCAAGCAAGAATAAAGTTTTAACTGTCTCCAAAATCTAAATATCTATCTGGTTTGGGGTGAGCTTTGTGTATACACATTCATTAGACTTAGCAACTGACAGTGAGAGCTTAAACTAAGATTGAATGCTTGTTGCAATTAATTTCTATAACTTGTTCTGCAACTTCACCGTTCATCAAAATTGCCCAGATTTCTCTCATGGAATATGTATGGAAGAGATCAAACAGTTAAATATCTTAATGAAATCTATTTTCTTATAGTACAATGGTTGGCAAGTCAATAAATGGTCAGATTGTCAATATTTTAAGCTTTGTGGGTCTTACAGTTTCTTTGGCAGCTGCTCAAGTGTGATATTGGAGTGCAAAAGCAGCTAGAGACGACACATAAATGACTGAACGTGGCTGTGTTCCAATGAAACTTTATAGACATTGAAGTTTGAATTTCAAATAATTTTTATATATTATATTCTTCTGAATTTATTTATTTATTTATTTTTGACTATGTGAAAATATAAAACGCCATACACAAATGGCCAGCAAGTGAGGTTTGGCCAACGGGCTATAGTTTGCCAACCTCTGCTGTAGTATACAAACTTCAAATTATATTTTAGAAAATATAGTCAGGCATTAGATCTTTTTTCTCTGGATATAAAAAAAAAAAAAGTACTGATGGAAATAAGTGGGAACTGGCCACTCTGATCTGTCAACCCCGGGCTAAAAATCCACAAAGCTCCTTGGCTCATACTTTAAAAATCTGTTCCAGTTCTAATTCAGGTCCCTGACAACTTGGAAGTGAGTTGCCTTCGTTCTTTATCCATCCTGTCAAGGCAATGGCTGTCTGCATGGTTTCTTAGCTACATTTGGAGAATCTGCTAGTGTTCATTTATTCCATATCCCATAGTGGGGATAATTAACTAAGACCCAGAATAGAAAGCGAGTTTGACAGTGCCCTGCTTGGTACCATTGTAGAACGAGAGGTCTGCTTTTTTCTTTTTTTTTTTTTTAAGCCAATTATGAAGGAAAAAGTACATGATTTTAAGTAATTTTATTTTTCTAAGACATGCACCAAGTTTAAAAAGTTAAAAAAATTCTAATAAGATGTTAGTGAAATATCCTCCATACTCAAATTGTGATTATTATATTATTTTATATTTTTCTTTCATCTAATATTTATCTCTACTTTTTAATGATAATGTTTATCTTGCTATTTTATTTAATGTTGGCAAGCATAATCTCTTGATTTATCATTATTTTAATCAGTTCATGTACACTAC